GGGCCTGTGATAGGAAAACCTACAACTGGTTCTACTACAACCTAGTATTCTGCCCAGATTATTCAATTAAGTAGAAATTATGGAAGTTTTGGCTATACTGCCCCTGGAGGTATTTAAAAGAGGTGTAGATGTGATGCTTAGGGACATGGTTTAGTGGTGGACTTGGGAGTGTTAGGTTAATGATTGGACTCCATGATCTCAAGGGTCTTCTCTAACCTAAATGATTCTATGATTCTACGTATCTTTAATTTTAGAATATGATAATTGGTTGGGGGTTTGAGAGAGAGGAATTAAAACACAAATATTGCCTCAAATAATTACTCCTATGCTCCATCAAGCACTTGTGTTCCTTTATTTCTTCTTCTTAAAAAACCCAAAACACTAGCAATCCAAAACCACCAAACAAAATTAAAACCATCTCTCATCCAGTCTTTAAACCCTAATTCTTATTCCCCATATAAGCACACTGCTCTCACTAAATCAGAGAGCTGCATCCAAAAGCTGAATTAAATTCAAACAGTCCAGTATGAGCAAAGACTGACATCCCATTTTTTCCCTCAGCCTTAGTTCTTTGAAATTTTGCACCACAGCCAGGTCAAGGCCTCTTCCTGTTTGGACTGGACACCTGGCTTGTGCTTTCAGACCACAAAAAATAACTCTAGCTTTTGTCTAATTATGGACACCTCTAAATAGTGATTTGAATCCATAAGGAGACAGTTAGGGATCCAAGTACACAAATACTCTCTGCAAAAGAGGCTGAATGACGTTTTGACAACACTGAATGCGAGACACAGACAGGACAGGATCCCACCAGGCAGAGCTTCTCATATCATGGTGTCAGCAGACTCATCCTTGAACCCTCATATCTCACCTTTTCAGTATATTTTTAAACCAGTTAAGCCTTGGTCTACACAAGCTGTTTTTGTTTCTCACTCTCCCAACAGCACTGGTGAAATTAACAGAAAACAGAGACTACCATAATTCGACCAATCTATGCTCAGCCATGGCATTCCATGTGTTGCTTTCGCAGTCTGTGCAAGGAACAGAAGATCTCAAAATTATATCCAAAGCATCCTCAAAATTACAATAAGATTTATATTAATCCTCATCAGTTGTGGACATTTTCATCTATTTTAACCCATTTCCATTTATTTTTAAGTATTTAGGAAACATCCACCACACTGCAATCTTGTAATGGGGACAGACGCTTTTAACTTCAGTGTTATGAGTGAAGTTCATCATCTTTATGGTTCACTGTCATCAAAGGGAAAAAAAAGGAAGGGGGTGGGGGGTAGGAAAGGAAAGCAAGCCTGTTCCTGTGAGGAAAAAAAAAAATCCCCCAAAACACACAGTTTCTTCAGATGTCCATAATAATTAAAAGGAATATCAAAGAATATATTCGGGCCAAGGAACTAATAAGTAAGGAAGAATGAAAGCTGTTTCTGTAGTCTTTCAGCAGAGAAACTCTCAAGAGAAGCCCTGGCTACTGTTGGTTTAGGGCCTGTAGACTATACACTGACAAAAGGGAACACTTTGGGAAAGGTACTGTCAAACAACCCTCGTTCAGGGGACCAGAGCAGAAATAAACAGTCACTCCTTAGCACTCATCAATAAACTGCCTGGATTTCTCAGTACTGTATGTAAAGGCCACACTTATCTTCTCTTCACTTACCCATTAAAGCAACTAAAATTTTCGTGACTCATATTTAGTCATTTTTTTGGCAGCTTGGTCTGGCTTGAATCAAGTCAAATCCACTGTGCAAAAATTCACAACCAGGAAACACTAGAGCGAAAGAACACAGACCTCTGGAAAAGGAAAAGCAATGTCCTCAAGAAATAACTTGTACTTGGGAATGCACTGAACCACCTACAAACCTTACGTATACATATATTAAAAACCTATTTTCCTTCCCAGGTCCAAAGCTATTTCTTGAAGAGTGCAAGCAAACAAGTTCACAAGAAACACTCAAAAATCACTCAGTCAAGACGATGGGCAGCCCTGCATGGGCAAGCCCTGGAGGTGGAGGAGGCAGTGCTATGCCTAAGGTTGTCATTTACTGCCACAAGCCTTCAAGCTGGGTTAGGACCACAAGAGGAAAACAGTGAATTACACTGAAGGTGCTGGAGAAATATGGAGACAAAATATGGAACTAAGGAGAAATCCCATCTCCTTATGATTCAGGTTAAATTGATTCAGGTTAAATGCAGTGAAAACAAGGAGGATATACTCAACTTCAAAAGGATCTGAAGGAACAAGGACACCACAGCAGTAAGGCACAACAATTCTAGACAAAGACAAGGGTGGGTTTTTTTTGTTTGTTTGTTGTTTTTTTTTTTTAAATCTCCATAACTTAACAGTGAGTTTAAAGCTTATGGGACCACCTCAGTACTAACTATGATATATCTTCAGTAAAATTTATTCACCTAATTCAGCAGTACTCTGGGTTTAGTAAAATTCAGCGCTGCAATAATACACAACTGTCACAAAAAAATCCAACCAATCACTATGGTCTTCCAAAAATAATATACCAGAAACACTCTTATATGACGTATTTAAAGTTTCTTTTCAGCACCCTCCTCAATGTATTTGGATAAGATTGTCTGGCTACACTGTACTTCCAAACCTATCTTTATCTCATTGCACATGCAGACCTTTTCAGAAAGTACATGCTGGCTCCTGGAACTGCAAACCAGCTGACATAATCTTGGAGTTGTAACAAGCTTTGAACTTCCTGAAAGATAATCAAGACCAATTTAGTTTCTGAAATAAAACCCACATCACACAGAAAAATCACATTACTGTAAGAGATGCTAGGATACACTACCTAAACTTCAGATTCATGCATCAGCAAAACAGGGGAGAAGAAGACCTCATTTCAGAAGGTACCAATCCTAAAAGCATCATCTTAAAATAAGGTTTTTATTTTATTTGGAATACTTCTACATGGTTAGCTTTTGTTGTTGTTTTGTTTGTTTGTTTGATATTTATTTTGAACAAGCTGTAATCACTTCTTAATAACAATGCAAAAAGATGAGTTTGCAGTTTCCTTAGTATAATACCATGGGCACTGGCACTAACTCTGTTCTATCATTCATTGAAGTCAGTGGAAAATCTCTAAGTTCTGACCGTGGACAACAAGCTCCTGAGAGCTAGAGAAGCCACAAGAAGAAAGAGAACACTGTGATCTCTCTAGAATGCTGGATGCATTAGGGTATATCTTAGTAACATAGATAACATTTAATTCCTGTTTAAAAAAAGAAAAAAAAAAAAAAAAA